TCTCACGCTTGAGGTATTCGGCCAATCATAACGCACTGGATAGCTGGCCAATCAGAGCACACCTTGCTTTTCAGACCGATGAGCTTTGTAAAAATTTACGCGTTTCAGAAAGGTGGGGCATAGAGGAGAAACAATAATGTACAGTATGTGGAAAATAATGTGTTTTTTAAACCTTAAACCTCATAAACACATTTCATTACACCAAATACACAAAATAATGTTCTTTTTAGCAACATCATATGATCCCTTTAAAGGGTTAGTTCAGCCAAACATATAAATTCATTCATTATTTGCTTGCCTCAATGCTGTTCAATCCTTGTGCTGCTGTCGACATCTCCATCCTCACTGCACACAGCAGTCTGCAGACATTTCAGATCCTGCAAAAATGCACAAACACAATATAAAAGCAGTCATTTTAACAGCACAATGTCATTTCATTTCTGTATTAGAAGTAACAAAATTATCTTACTTTATGTTTTTGTTTCAGGTTTTCCCTTTTTTCCACAAATGCCACCGTCACCTTGCCTTGCAGGTCCTGCTCCACCAAAAAAGCTCTGCAGCAAATGCACAGGAATCAAGAATAAGAAGTGCTGTAATAACTCTGTTTGAAATTACAATAATTACAATAAAATACAACAAGATTTAAAAGATGTTTAATTCATTTCTGCAGTGTACTCACTCAAAGCCTCTGATGGCAGCATTCCTTCATCAGTCACTCTTCACCGGATAAACATGTGTGTCTCATCTGTCCCTGTAACATTCAGACAAGATTCAAGTTACCTCTGTGATTTATCTGCTCAATACTGCATTTACATGTTGAGGTAGTTGCTTGGACAGCTATCCAGTGCGTTGTGATTGGCCGAATACCTCAAGCGTGTGACGGAAATGATACGCCCCTTTCCATATTGTGATGCCGTGTCCCGGCCGGAGCGCAGGGCTCGACGCTTACTTTTCTTTTTAGGAGCACTTGTGCTCCTAACTTAAAAAATTTAGGAGCAAGTTGAAAATTTTAGGAGCACCTTCTAATCAATAATCCAGGTTGAACTGTTCAGGAACAGTGCTGTAAATACAACTTAACCACTGATTTCTAGTTGTATCCTCTTTTGGAAGGCCAAACAAAGTAGTTTCGCTTTCACAACGAAACACACAGCGTCACACACGGCGGGCTACAGTGAGTGGCAGCCGGCGCAGCGCGAAGGAGCGGGCGGCGGGCTTGCGGCAACCACATGTGACTACCCCGGGCTGGGGCACGCCTTCTTTCTTTGCATGAACATTTGGGCGGCGTTATGCAAATCTTCCCACATCGTGACATAGACATGTGGGGGCATGTTAGAACGAGCCGTTTTAATTAGGTGTGGTTGACTCTTAACTTTTATAAAGAATAGCTCTTTGGATTTGAGACTTTAGTCTTTGTAACTTTACAGATCTTCTTTATGCACCAAGAGCTTGTAACATTCCAAAGAGAAAGGAAAAAATTTAAATTGCATCATATGACCCCTTTAACTCACTTTTTATCCAACACAAATGTTCCTCAATTTATCAACAGTACTAATGAACAAATTTAAAAAAAACGTATGTTTAGTTACTCTACGTAGATTTGTTAATTTACATTACTTATATTCAACTAATGTAAGAAGTGTTGACAACAGTGAATTCTACTACATCACTCCGATGTCTATTTCTTGTCTATTAGATGTTCCCATCTGCAATTCTTTTAGAACATTTTCCTGTCACATATTAAATAGACATTTAGTAATTGTCTTTAAGATGTATGGTTTATGTAAATTCACTTTAGAGATGTACGTATGCTTACTGGAGGTCCCCTGTTTGCTATACATAATAAAACGTGTTTTTACAGAAAAATCACAAATATACTATACTGTCTAGCGTCTTACACCTTCAGCAATTCAACAGTGTTTCAACCATGTTTTTGGTTTGTAATACTCACATTTGTAAACACCCGCGTCGCTGTTCTCCATCACGTTCGATGATGACGTATCGTCTCGCGTGGGCTTCTGGGATTGAAAAGTGTCCATCGATGCACACTTCAGAATCTGGGCTGAAGCAGTAGGACATCCGGGGATTTCTCACCTACTCTTTTATGAATACTGTGTTTCGGACATACTTTCTTCACATACTCTTTTTTTCCTACTATATAGTAGGTAAGTAGGCATATTCTAAAGCAACTTAAGTATACATACGTATAATGCGAGAATTAGTGCACCAGCCAGGTAATTCTCATCTACTTTTTTATGAATACTTATGATTTATACATACTTATTCGCTCGCCTACTGCTTTTTGCCTACTATATAGTAGGAAAGTATGCGGTTTCGATCGCAGCGTACAAGTTACTGTCTTCCGCCATTTTGGACAGTACCACGACGCATATGCACTCTTTTCCCAGAACGCAATCAGCACTGTTTGCATTCATCATGTGCACATTTTCTACTGAATGTAAACAATGCTGATTACGTCGATTACGTTTTGGTGAAAGAAACTCTCCAAAATGGCGGAAGACGGTAACGCGGGGAGAAGAATTGTTGAATAAATTGTTATTTTTGTTTTCTTTGCACACAAAAAGTATTCTCGTAGCTTCACAAAATTTAAGTTAAGCCACTGATGTCACATGGACTGTTTTACCGATACCCTTGCTACATTTCTGGGTCTGGGAACATTGCAGTTGCGTTGCTGTCTAT